AGGATTAGGATTTGAGTTTTGGAGAGCTTTGATTGGGAATTTGAGGTCCTATTTTGATGTTCTTGGTATGTGTAGACTTGTAGGAGGATAAAGATTATATTGATGTGATTTTTATCGAATTCCTAGTCGTGGGCCCCGGGGTCAGGTTTGACCAATTTTGGGATTCTTGATGTAATTTGAATATTTTTGCGTGGGATTTGTTCCCTTAGTATATATTGGTGTTATAGTTCTGATTTTAGTTAGAGACAGAGCATTTGGAGGCTGAATCGAGAGGCAAGGGCATCGCGGGCTAGAGTTTGGCTTGAGTTGAGGTAAGTAACGCTTACAAACTTGGTTATGAGGGTTCGAAACCCCAAACTATGTGTTCTATGATTACTATTGAGGTGACGCAAATGCCAAGTGACGGGCGTATAGGCGTGCACCGTGAGAATCACGGCCTGGATCATTCCATGGCACCCTTAGTGACTCTTTCTTACTGATATCTGTGTTATAACTATGTGATTAAGTTAATGAGCTTTAAATCATGCTAATAATCTTGTTAAGGCTTCACGCCAATACTGTTGAGACCCAAGAGGTTGTTTCTTGCTGTCATATCATTAGCTTCATTGATATCATGCATATTATATCATGCCTCAGTCTCGATTATTGTTATTTGACACATCATATCATTGTTTGGGCTAGTATCATGACATTTTGAGCTCGTGTGTATGAGACTGGAGAGTAATGATTGAGTGAGGCCGAGAGCCTGATATTGAGCGACAATATAGGATCGGGATGCATGCCGCAGTGAGATATTGGACATGCCTTTGTTGGCTTGTTATAGCGCTTGGGCTAAGAGAAGCCCCTCCGGAGTCTTTACACCCCCAATGAGTGCAGTTGATAATTTTGAGGGATGGATCTTTCCTGGACATGGATCTTGTCCGAAGTATTGATACCTGGAGATGGATCTTCTCCATAGGGCTGGAATGGCCTTCCTCGGTACTGGATGACTATGGTCAGCGATGTGCATATATTCCGGGATGTATCTTCCCTAGCCCTTGTGAGCCATATACAGTACCGAGTGGTTGTGAGGTTATTATTATTATTATTTGGAGATGGATCTTTTCCATAGGATGGAATGGCCTACCTCAGTATTGAGTGACTGTTGTTAGAGATGCATATATTTCGGGATGGATCTTCCCTGGGCTGTACGAGCCATATATAGTATTGAGTGGATGAGCATTTGAGATTGTGGGCACATGAGGCACTCAGTATGGTGCATTTCATACAGCATGTGCATTGACATATAGATGTATCAGAGTTACACTTCTTTACCTTGTTCATACTTGCTCTATTTTATTGTTCGAGCTGTTTATTTAACTGAAAGCATGCTTATGTTTCTGTACGTTATTTCTGTTATCCTTGAGTAGGTTGAGTTCGTCACTACCTATCGGTCCAAAGGTTGGATTTGTTACTTACTGAGTTGGTGTACTCATGTTACCCCATGCACCCATGTGCAGATCCAAGTATCTCGGGGCACTGTAGCGGTTGCTGATCATACCAGTTAGAGATTTTCTATGGAGATTGCGAGGTAGCTGTCTGGCGACTGCTGTTCTGCCTTCTCCTTCCTTATCTTCCTTGTAGTACTTTTGTTGGACTTTCTTTCTCAGTCTATGTAGTCTTGGTTATTTCAAACAATTTTAGTATTTGGCTCATGACTTAGTGACACCCGAGATCGGGCTTGTATTTCTTTCCGCTGGATTTGATTTACACTTTTATCTTATTGGATTTCTATTAAAAATATGATTTTTCTTAAGTCTTTAACTGAAAAATGGAGTATTTAGATATAAGTTGGCTGGCCTAGTTTCATGATAGGTGCCATCATGACCGGGTCAGTTTTTGGGTTGTGACATATTGGTATCAGAGCCTAGGTTGCATAGGTCTCACGAGTCATAAGCGGGTTTAGTAGAGTCTCGCAGATCGATATAGAGACGTCTGTACTTATCCTCGAGAGGCTGTAAACCTTTAGGAAATCCCATATTCTTGAATTCTTATCGTGCGACATTGATTCAGCTTGAAATGTAACTTTTTGAATTCCTTCCACGCGTTTGTATACGCGCATGAGCGCTCGACATCAGTTGTGCATTGATGGCTTATGATTCCCTGATCGAAGGGTGAGATGTGATTTCTATTTGTTGATGTTGGGCCAGTCTGGAGGACTTGAGGCCGGGTTTTGCCTATAGCTTGAGCGCTGAGGCGTTGATTGTGTGGGCACATGCTTCTGGATTTATATGTTCGGTAGTGTCCATATTAGTGGAAGTAATGACCGGATGGCTAAGTGATGAGTATGATGTGACTGCGAGATGTGTTCATATGATTTGAATGTGACGAGAAGGGTCTGCTTGAGAATAGAAAGAACTATTTGGTGCTTGATTTCCGTCGTGAGTTGATGTATAGCCCGAGTTAGGGTGTATTGAAGGATCCTTTCATGTTGTTAGTTAGGGTGTGAGGTGGATTTTATGTTGCGATTTGAGTTCAGACTCAGGAAGATTTGGTGATTGCATGATATTTATGGCGGTGGAAGGGTATAAAGAGAAGTTAGTTTGAGGCGGAGCAGGTGAGTTATCTTTTGCAAAGTGTCTGAATTTTGTCTGATCCCTATGTTGTTTGTTGAAAGTCCTCTTTTACTAGTGAATTATATTTGCTGCAGTTTAAGTTGGATCGCGTATGAGAGTTGTCTTGACTGTCACAAGGATGAATGTGAGATTTGCACATGATTTGAAGTACTAGATGGGTTGTGATGCACAAGCATATGAAGGATTTAGTTTAACCTCACCATGGTATTATGGCAGCAGTAGATTATGGGCATTGTGAGTTCTGTGTGTTTTAACCCATGATTTTGAGCCAAGTAGGGGAGCCGTTATTGATTAGTTGATTGCACAGTTATGTGTTTTATTTGTTTCAGTTTGAGGTATATTAGTGAATCAATTGTGGCGGGTCGAGAGCGAAGGTGGCTCGAGTAAAGGAAAATTTTAATAAATGTTATATCATCATTTACGGGCGAATGAGAATCACGGAATGTCTTGAGTTGTTGATGGTGAAGGATGTACAATGTGTAGAACATGAATTTATTTAGTTGTATTAAGGTGGGGTTACTTCCATAGGTGTTGTTGTTCTAATGGGGCAGGTGATTCGGTTCATTTGATCAGTCTAATTGAAACCTGAGTAGAGTGGATGACTCCCAAGAATGGTTTTGAAGGATTTAAGGTTTACATGTAGTAATTGGAGATCTTCAGGATGTATATTTGGCTAAGAATGGGGGTTTACACTGGAGGGTGTCGAGACTTGTGGCATTTCTATATCAACTATGGGATTCTACACATTAGTATCAGGGAGGTGAAGGTAATGGCTTTAGATTCGCAGGAAGTCTCTTTAGGATAAATATTTTGAATGTGGCACTTTTAGGAATATTTAAGAGAGTATTCGGCGACTTATGAGCCTTAGATGGTATGGTCTCATGCTTGAGTCTCGTGTGGTGAGTCTAGATTGAGGATTGCGGTATTATGGAAAGGGGAAATATCAATTTGAAGGAAATTTAGAAGTAACTTGGATAGATAGGATAGCTTAGTAGTAGGCCGGATCAGCATGGTAAGGGATACGATTAGTTCTTTGGGTGCTTATGAGGTAATGAGTTTCTACAGGTGTTTTGTGGCAATGCTCTTGGGCATTTGGTGACTCGTGTAGCTTGGTTGAGTTAGAAGGATTCAGTCCTGATGGTTTGGTGTTGTGCAAATGGAATTCAGAGAGTTCATGATGGTTTCTACCACGGTCAGAGATGTATATTTTCTACTGGCATGAGGAGCATATGATGAATAATGATTTTCTTCTAGATGGGATCAAATAGATAGTTCTCGGCTAATTGAGTACGTAATTGCTTGTGAGTACCTTACATACTCAGTATATTCTTCGTACTGGCGTCCCTTTTCTTGGGGCGCTGTGTTTTATGCCACGTAGGTGTAGATAGGCGAGGCAAGGACCATCCACTGTAGGCTGCCTCCAGATATCAGCTTTTGTTTGGTGAGCTTTACATCTTTCTGGAGTATTGCCTAGTCACGTTCTATATATGTTACTTTGTTTTATAAAGATATTGGGGACCCTATCCCGACTTATATATTATGATCATATTTTCTTAGAGGTTATGCAGAAAGTGTCATGTGTATAGCTTTAAGTATGACATGTCAACGGCCTTGTCGACTCCTATGTATCTATATATAAATCTTTTTGAATTAGATATATGAGTTAAGTTCTAATATTATTAATTATATATATAACTGTGGCCTATCATGGTCGTGACGAGTCTTATAGAAAAAAAAGATAATTGGTGCTCGATTGAGTAGGCACCGGGTGCCCGTCGTGGCCCTCTGATTTGGGTCGTGACAATATCATCAGGTGATGGTTGGATTGAGGTACCATCATCAGAAGTAGGTTGCTTCTGACACCATTCATCCAAGCTTCTATGATATCCATCCTGAAATAAAAGTAATAAGGATTATATATATAAATTAATATCAAAGTGAATAGTCTTAAAGTTATGATCTTACATATTGTTCCGATGCATGTGTCTCAATCCATCCTTCTCTTGAACCGTCTTTCTTCTTTTTCTTATGTGTCTCCGCAATGACCTTAGCATGAGACACCAGTCCCCCTTTTAACTTTTTCTGCAAAACTAATAGGATATATAATTTAGAAAAAAATTCAATTGTGTTTAAACAAAACCAAAGAAAATAAATGTAAAAATTACCAATCTCCGTCGATGTGCAGCAAAACTCATAGATCCCCCGGTGTGCAACGAGCCACCCTTTTAAGAGGCTCGGGCTGCCTTTACTCGTTCACTCTTCTTAAATTCAATACTATCCCATATTGCTAAAAAATTTATCCACACATCTTCTCTTATCCAACTAGGTTTCTCCCTCTTTTCTCGAGCTTCATACAATGAACTTGAAATCGCTTTCTCTTTTTGCTTTCTTCACAAAGACATCTTTTATTTCATTGTCATATCGTTGCTCCCACACACACTTAGTCTGAAAATAATTAAATAAAGTAGAGTAAAATTGGGTATTTTATATATAATTTAAAAATAAAGTTTATGTGTACCCTAAACTGATTCCACATTGCATCTCTGATATGATATGGAATTTCTTTCCATATACTCCAAGCATCATCGTAAAGTGGGTTAATAGATTCTGTAACCATATGCGTGGCAGTAAATGGAGGGAAAAACCTGCATTAAAATTAGCATATGTAAAATGTATATTCAACAGAATAAAAATAAACATAAGGATTACTTACTCATCATGCTCATCCGGAAAGATAATCAACCTAAATATGCATCATATTGTGGAGTCTCTCTATCACTTCGACCCTGAGAAGTTGCTGGTGTAGCACTACCAATGGATGGTGATGTTGGTGTGCCAGAGACTCCAATATTTAACCTAGATACGCTAAGTGTGCTTGATGGTGGAGATGCAGTTAGAGTCGATGAAGTAGGCAGTGCTGAGGAGCTACCTTGTTGACTAATTGTCACGACCCGGATTCCCACCCTCGGGAGTCATGATGGCGCCTACTAGTACGAGCTAGGCAAGCCAATTAATTGCACAATTTACCTTTTTATCCATTTTATATTCATTAACAATTTCGAAATAATAACATTTAAACAGCGGAATTTAACACAAGTGGAAGAAAGAAACAATAAGCTATCTGAACATGAATATCCAATACAACTGTTTGAGTCACGACTACCCAGAACTGGTGTCACAGTTTCACAGACAGTCTAAGAATACTACAAATAAAGGGTCTGAAAGGAATAAATACAACATTGTCTCTAGAAATACAAGAAAGAAACGAGAATAGTAGATAGAAGGAGACGCCAAGGCCTGCGGACGCCTGCAGGACTATCTCGGGTCGCCTGATGATCAAGAATCAGCAATCTCACTGTGGTCCGAAGTCCACAACACTGGGGTTTGCACAAAAGAGTGCAAAGTATAGTATCAGCACAACCGACCCCATGTGCTGGTAAGTGCCTAGCCTAACCTCGGCGAAGTAGTGACGAGGCTAGGACCAGACTACCAAATAAACTTGTGCAGTTATATGATATACATCGGAAAGTAAAGCAGAAATAAACAAGTAAAGATGGGAGGGGAAAACATGCTTCGGGGAATAACAGGTAAGAACAAATTATCAAAAGAACTATAAAGCAATCAAAATCCAATTACTAACAAGAGTAAGGAAAACAAAGGCAGATTTCACTTTCTTTTCACATCTTGTGCTAGGCATACCACCCGCTCCCATTTTGTTATATCTTGTGGTAGGCGTATCACCTGCTCCCATTTCATTATATCTTGTGGTAGGCGTACCACCCGCTCCCATTTCATCATATCTTGTGGTAGGCGTACCACCCGTTCCCATTTATAATATTGTTGCGGCGTGCAACGCGATCCACATATAATATTGTTGCGGCGTGCAACCCGATCCACATATAATATTGTTGCAGCGTGCAACCCGATCCATATATAATATTGTTGCGGCGTGCAACCCAATCCATATATAATATTGTTGTGGCGTGCAACCGAACTTGTTACAGCACCTAACTATCTCAACTATAACTCAACTAGTTTCGACATCTAATACGAAGAATCATCAACCTAAGCATCCGTAATATCAATTAAGAACACAATGCAAGGGAACCTCAACTCAACAATAGCCCGGCAAGGGGGCAACATAATGATCTCTTCTCTTTCTCACTTTTACTTCACAATTCACTTCACAACTCGAGCCAATGCTCTAGAGTTTCGAATATCACTTATACTTTCACAATTCGTTATACAACTGGAGCCAATGCTCCTCAATGTTCATAGGTCACAATTCTTCCCACAACTTTACAAAACAAATAGAAATCTTCACCAAGGCATGAATAATACAACGAAATCATGAAAATCACAATCTCACAGACATGCTTGGCACCAACGTATAGATACTTGTCACCATGCCTATACGTCGTACTCAACAAGAAACATATAGCAAATAGAACAAAACTCCTAATACCTCAAGCTAAGGTTAGACCAAACACTTACCTCGATGCCTCGAACACAACTCAAGTTTCAATTATAGCTTTACCTCTTGATTCCTCCACCAATTCGCTCGTATCTAGCCACAAGTTGCTTAATTACATCAATAAACGCTAAATGAATCAATTTGAATGCATGAAAATGAGTTCTCCAAAGTTTTACCCAAAAAGTCAAAATCGCCCACGGGCCCATATAGTCAAAACCTGAATTTCAAACCAAAACCCGATTACCCATTCCCCCACGAGCTCAAATATGTAATTTGTTTTGAAATCGGACCTCAAATCGAGGTCCAAATCCCCAATTTTTAAAAAACCTAGGTTCTACCCAAAACACCCAATTTCCCTCATGAAAATCATTGATTTGAAGTTGAAATCATGTTAAAAGATGCTAATGATCGAAGAAAACTAGTTAAAAACGACTTACAATTGATTTGAATAAGAAAGGTTGTTTGAAAAAAAATCGCCTCTTATGTTTAAGGGGTTTTGAAAAATGAAAATAACTGGAAATCCCGTCTATTTATACCCCTCTCAGACCCCTTGTGCGAACCGCACAAAATGGACTGTGACTACGTAGCAGCGCCCCTGTGCGAACCGCACAAAGTCGACTGCGGCCGCATAGCAGTGCCCCTGTGCGGACCGCACAAAGTCGATTGCGTCCGCATAGCCCTACACCGCACACCACACAAGGCCGACCGCGGACCACACTGGCGTGTTCAGAGGCCTGCAACTTATGGTTTTAAGCTTAAAACATCCCGGAACCTACCCAAAACTCACTCGAGTCCTCGGAACTCCAAACCAAGTGCACACAAAACCTCAAAAATATCCTACGGACTTATTCATGTAATTAAGTCATCAAGATAACATCATGAACATCAAATTAAATCTCGAGATCAATGAAATTTTCTCAAAACTTCTTTAAACATCAACTTTGCGATTTAAGTCCGAATCACGTCATATGACATTCGTTTTTTCATAAAATTTCACAGAAACATCTTAAATCATATATAAGACCTGTACCGGGTGACAGAACCAAAATACGAGCCCGATACTAACATGTTCTAATCAAATTTCATTCCAAATTTCCTTAAACAATTTTAGAAAACAATTTTCTTTGAAAATTTATTTCTCGGGCTCGGGACCTTGGAATTCGATTCCGGGCATACGCGCAAGTCGCATATTTTCATACGGAACCTCCGGGACCGTCAAATCACGGGTCCGGGTCTCTTTACCCAATACATTGATCGAAGTCAAATTTACTCATTTTATAACCAAATTTTTATCATTTTTTTCACAGATTTTCATATTTAAGCTTTCCGGCTACGCGCCCGGACTGTGCACGCAAATCGAGGTGATTCTAAATGAGGTTTTCAAGGCCTCGGCGACACAGAATTCAAAAGGTCATCACATTTTTCCACCTCTAAAACAACCGTTCGTCCTCGAACGGACAGAAGAAGGGAGTACCTGAGTTAGGGAAAAGATGGGGATAACGGCCCCGCATATTAGCCTCGGACTCCCAGGTCGATGCCTCAGGTGGCTGACCTCTCCACTGAACATGAATAGAAGGAAAACTCTTCGATCTCAATTGACGAACCTGCCAGTCTAGAATAGCTACCGGCTCCTCCTCATAAGACAAGTCCTTGTCCAACTGGACAGTGCTGAAATCTAACACGTGGCATGGATCGCCATAATACTTCCGAAGCATGGACACATGAAACACTGGATGCACGTCTGATAAGCTCGGCAGCAAAGCAAGTCTATAAGCCATCTCTCCCACTCGATCAAGAATCTCAAACGGGCCAATAAACTTAGGGCTAAGCGTGCCCTTCTTCCCAAATCTCATCACGCCCTTCATAGGTGACACTCGGAGCAATACCCGCTCATCGACCATAAAAGCCACATATCGTACCTTGCGGTCTGCATAACTCTTTTGCCTGGACTGAGCTGTACGAAGCCTATCCTGAATAATCCTGAACTTATCCAAGGCCTCCTAAACTAGATCCGTACCCAACAACTAAGCCTCTCCCGACTCAAACCATCCAACCGGAGATCGATACTGCCTACCATATAAAGCCTCATGAGGAGCCATCTGGATACTCGACTGGCAGCTGTTGTTGTAGGCAAACTCTGCTAAAGGCAAAAACTAATCCCATGAACCTCCAAAGTAAATGACACAAGCTTAAAGCATATCCTCCAAAATCTGAATAGTCCACTCGGACTGCCCGTCCGTCTGAGGATGAAATGCCGTGCGCAACTCAACCTGTGTACCCAACTCTCGCTGAAATGCTCTCCAGAAATGCGAGGTAAACTGCGTACCTCGGTCCAAAATGATAGACACAGGTACACCATAAAGACGAACAATCTCCGGAATATAGATCTCAGCTAACCTCTCGAATGAATAGGAGACTTCCACAAGAATGCAATGCGCTGACTTGGTCAGCCTATCAACAATGACCCATACTGCATCGAATTTCCTCCGAGTCTGCGGGAGTTCAACAACGAAATCCATAGTGATCCGCTTCCACTTCCACTTGGGAAGCTCAATCCTCTGAAACAAACCACCAAGCCTCTGATGCTCATACTTAACCTGCTGACAAGTCAAACACCAAGCCACATATGCACAATATCCTTCGTCATTCTACGCCACTAATAATGCTGCCGCAAATCCTGATACATCCTTGCGGCGCCCAGATGAATAGAGTACCAGGAGGTATGGGCCTCCTCTAAGATCAACTCTCGAAGACCATCCACATTAGGCACACATACCCCACCCTGCAATCTCAAAACTCCATCATCATCTAAGGTAACCTGCTTGGCACCTCCACGCTGCACCGTGTCTCTAAGGACACACAAATGGGGATCATCATACTGCTGTTCATGGATACGCTCCAATAAAGAAGAACAAGCGACCGTACAAGATAATACACGACTAGTCTCAGAGATATCCAACCTCATAAACCGATTGACCAAAGCCTGAACATCCAAAGCAAGCGGCCTCTTACCGAACGAAATTTAAGCAAGACTGCCAATACTGGCTGACTTCCTACTCAAAGCATCAGCCGCCACATTGAACTTCCCCG